CCTAGAACTTAGCACAGCTTTTTATACATAGTAGGTGCTTAATAAATGTCAGTTAAAATGTACACAGTTGGATTTCCTTCCCACCACTCTTCCAGTGGCAAAATTGCAGATGCATGGATGGAGTTGACTAGAGGCTTGGCAACATATCCTCTTGCTTGAGGAGCAATCCTGGTGTAGGGAAGGAATTGTTATTTTTCCATTGTGCAGAAAAGGAAACTGAGGCTCACTCTGAACTTGAGTGACTTACCCCTGGTCTTTCTGGCTCATAGTTATCAGAGCCAAGATGTGAACCCAAGCCTACACCCATCATTCTTCCAACAACATGTTACTAGTTTAGTCTATCTGGAGCAGGGGTGGGGAACCTGCAGCCTCGAGGCCACATGTAGCCTTCTGGGTCCTTGGGTGTGGCCTTTTGATTGAGTCCAAGTTTTACAGAACAAATCCTTTTATTAAGGGATTTGTTCTGTGAAGTTCAGATTCAGTCAAAGGGCCACACTTGAGGACCTAGAGGGCCACACATGGCCTTGAGGCTGCAGGTTCCCCATCCCTGATAGAGAATTTGGAAAGTCCCTTCCAGCTCTGATTTTTCATAGTTTTCTAGTCTATGGAGAAGCATTTGTGATGAGGACAGTCTTGTTGTCTTCAGCCTTAGAGGTGAAGTGAGGTTTGGAGGGATCAGCCAGAAGCCAAGGAAGTGAAGCCCAATGCTCCCACCTTTGAGTTTTGGGGGCACCAATGACAGAGGCTGGGCCAACGATATCACCTGGCATAGCTGAGAAAGTATATCCAACTTTTCTTTCTCGAACTTGAGACATTAACCAATCAACGGTACTAACCAGTCATAACATTCCCTCTGCAACGTGTTAATATCTAATCCCTCAAAATGATGTCATGCCATTTTCCAAATAGTACAAAGAGCTTCTCTTGATATGATCTCATTCATGCATTCTTTTTTTTTTTTTGGCTAGGCAATGGGGTTAAGTGACTTGCCCACGGTCACAGAGCTAGTAAGTGTTACGTGTCTGAACTCAGGTCCTCCTGAATCCAGGGCCGGTGCTCTCCACCGAGCCACCTAGCTGCCCCTATCTCATGCACTCTTGCAACACGCTGAAGATGGGAAGGACCAGGGGAACTTAATTCAACTGACACAATGATCGAGAACCCTACTGCATTATCCAGTACATGAAAAGTGGTCATGCAACTGCTGCTTGAAGGTGTCCAAAGTGGAAGAACCCGCTGGTTCCTGAGGCAGCCTATTCTATTGTGGAATAGCTCTATCTGTTAGGAAGTTCTTCCTGACACCATGGTTTGCTTTGACTATTTCTAACTCCTACCCACGGTTCTTGATTCTGCCCTTTGAGATCATCCAGAACTAGTCTAATCTTTCTCTTCCACATGACCACCGCTCAAATCCTCAGCTAGTTCTAGAATCCTCCATGAAAGGGAAGACAGGAAAGGAACAAGTATTTCAATGGCACCTACTATGTGCCAGGCACTGCTAAATGTTTTTCCAAACATCTCATTTGGTCCTCTCAAATGTTATCTTCATAACAACCCTTCGAGGTAAGTGCTATCATTCTCATTCATGAGCAGAGGCAGCCAAAGGTTAAGTGACTTGCTCAGGGTCACACAGCTATTAAGTGTCTGAGGCCTAATTTGAACTCAGGTATTCTTGATTTCAGGCCCAGCATTCCATTCTCTAGCCCACCTTGCTGAGTCTTCTCTTTTGGAGGCTAAAAATCCCCAGGTCCTTCACCTGACCCTCATATAACTCAAGGCTCTTTAGTATCCAAGTTGCATTTTTTTCTGGAGGCTCTTAAGCTTACGTATCTGGGTAGATTTCTTCTTCCCCACATCAATAGAATGTAAGTTCTTTGAGGGTCTTAGTCTTTTGTGGGTGTGTGTCTGGCCCACAGAAGATACACAAGACATGCTTTTTGGTTCACTGATTGCTTAACAAACGACTGACCCCCAAATAGAAAACGAACCAGGAGTGATTCTGGGACTAGAAGAAGGAGCTCATGACTTCCCCACTCTGTACTCTGATGGAGCAGATGAGCTACCCAGGTTGAAAGAGCAAAGCATCCTGAGAAAGATGCACAAAGCAGCATAAGCCAGGGGCTGCAGCCCTGGTAACCCCAGAAGCCACAGCTACTGAAGACATGGGCAAGAAAGCTGCCACCCCAAAGTCCTTGCCTTGTCAAATGGTTCAACCGCAGTGACAGAGAGAATTTTATCAATGGAAATGACACTGAAAAAGATGCGTTACCATCTGCTTGGCGGAAGGACTACAGGGCCTTGCCATTGCCTTGCTGTGCCAACCTCCTAGATGTGTTATTTCCCTCTATGAGGATATGGGCTCCTTGGGAACAGGGACTGTCTTGCCCTTCTATTTAAATCCTTACTACTTAGCACATAGTAATAAGCATTAAGTACTGTAAAATGCCTTTTTTTTTGTGGTGCAGTGGATAGTACTCTGGCCCTAGAGTCAGAAGGACCTGAGTTCAAATCCAGTCTCAGACACTTGCCACTTACTAGCTATGTGACCCTGAGCAAGTCACTTAACCTTGATTGTCTCACCAAAAAAAAAAAATACTTTTTTCCCCTTTTATTCACTCAGTCCATCTTCTAGGACTTTAGTTTCCATCTTTGTAAAGTAAAAGAGTTGGGCTAAAATAACTCCAAGATACCTTATAGCTCTAACCACTCTATGATGCTGCTAAATAGAATAGTAACAACTCTTATTTCTAGCCCAGAGCCACAAAGTTGGGAGGGACCCCCAGAGCCCTCAATTATGACACACTTGCCCAACACTCTCCTCAGCGCCACTCACAAGCAAGTTGTCCCCAAGGCTTTGACTGGAAGCACTCCCGTGAAAGAGAGTCCATTACACTCTAAGGTTTCCAAAGCACCTCCTTCATGGTAACCTTGTGAGGTACATGGTGAGAACATCGTTCTTCCCATTTTACAGATGACAAACAAAGGCTTGAATGAAATGCTTTATGGACAGTCGTAAAGCTAGTAAGAGTCGGTGCCAGAATTTGAAATCGGAATTACGGCATGCTGCCTCCTTCTAGGACGGTAAGATCCCTAGACAAGAGCAAAGCACCAAATGAGAGGCAGGTAAGCATTTATTAGATGGTTACTTTGCACCAGGTAATGGGTATGCAATTCTATAGATGAAAACAAAGAGTTGTCTCCTCGTTTTCTTCCTCAATCCACAAACCTCCCAGCCCAGGAGGAGGCATTAGCCCTGGAAGGCTGGCTACCCAGCTTCGGCAGCCTCTCCCCCAAAGGCTGGCCAAAGATAGGAAGAGGGTAGGTGACCGAGGCTGGCAGCAACAGCTCCAGATCGTCGCGTAGGAAGGAAAATGAATTTCTTCCAGTCATGCAGAAATGAAAATATGTGAAGCCAAATGAAAGATATTTCCTGGAGGTGGTAACCCAATTATGCAAATAACTCAGGAGCTGAGTAAGATGTTTGAGGGGGCTGTGCTCCAGGGAGGCAGCCCTAGGCTGTCTTCCTCAGTCCCACCTGCCTGGCTGGCTCTCCCACCATCTGCACAGAATCCAACTGGTCACCCTCTTGGGCTGCTGCTGCTGCCTGATATGGCTGGCTTTCTCTTGCAATATGACCAGGCTCTGAAGCTCTAGGTAACTCACATAATCTTCCTTCCTTCCTTTTTTTTTTTTAATCACATGATAGATGAAAGAGCATCCCATGAGAGATTGATTTCTCCAGTAAATTGGTTCTAATGTCATATCCTCTCTCTACCTCCCTGTTGCTGTCTGTCACCATCTCTCTCTCCCTCTGCTTGCTCAGACTTTGCACATTTGTTACTAACCTAGGTATTACTCTAAGAATTTATCTTTCCCTTCATTTTAAATTTATTGGGTGTAATGGAGTGGCAACTTTTCAGCTGTCCAGCTCAAAATGTAGTTTAGACATGGTTTCAGCAATGGCCCAGAACAAAACTCTTACTGCAAATAGCTTTTCTTAGGCAGCCAGTTTTGATATTTTATTGGACCAAACCGAGTTATTCCCGTCTCCACCATGGAAGGGGAAGGAAGGGCTGGAGGAAGGGGGTGGGGAGTGGCAAATGACACATCATGGAGTGGATCCAAAGCTTTTACATCCTCTTGTGGCCTTTCACTGCGTCATCTTTCCAAAAAGTTGCCTGATAACTTGACAGGCACTTCCTGGTCTTTTTCTCATCTTGAAAAGGATGCCACAGGCTGGCTGAAATCTGAAGCATCTAGGGGACTCAAATCTCTTAAAATCAAGACCAAACTACCTCTTTCATGGTCAGAGATTTAGTCAAAATTATAATAAGCTATTTAAACTTTGTGCCAATCACAGACCCGGGGACTGACCAGTTCCATTTGCCTCTGTTCTTGAGGAGACTCGACCATATTTGCAGGCTCCTGCTTCTATGTCCAGGGAACGGAACACACCCCTGGACTAACACCAGGAAGGCTATAGGGTGGGGTGGTAGGGCCTGCCAGTTACTCGGTCTGGATGGCCTCCACTCTGCTGTTCCCCCTCAAAACAAACAAATAATTTCCAAAGAAAACCTCTGTTTTAAAAAATTCCTTGTGCTCAACTGAACCCTGACCATCTGACATCAGAAGTCAGCCCTCTTTCCTCTATACCTCCTCTCAGCCTGTCAGGCGGAGACTTCAGTTTGGGGGTGTCACCTCTATTTAAGAAAGCCTGTACTACATTTAAGCCCCTGTGTGCTCAGAGCCCAACCAGCCACCAGCCTTCCCTATGCCTTCTGCTATGTGCAGGGCTGTCTGGGGCTGGATTCCCAACCATCTGTCCCGAGTCTGCTCAGACTTCCCTCAACATGGCTCCCACACCCCCAATCCTGAGCCTGAGCCCTCCACAAATAGAGGTTTACCAAAGTAAAGTCATCAGCCCAATGATGCTGGGAATACTCCCCCCAAACCCAAAGTAGGACCTAAATTGAGTCATCAGGAGGTACCAACCTACCCACCTGTGAAGGCTACGAGCCTCTCATGGGCTCCTTTAAAACTGTCCACTGTCAAGTACCCTTCAGAATGATGCAGGGTCAGGCCCAGGCCTGGGCCTCCACTTCTCCAGCCAGTGGGAATTTTTTCCTCATCTTGCCCAGAGGAAGTCCTATTTGAAGGACTGGTCATGAAGCCAGCTCCCAGTGTCAGTGGCCCAATGGCCTAAAATCAAAGAAGGACCAGGGCTAAGATGCGCTAGCTCCTTTATCCAGCAACCTGCAGCCCAGCTCCTCTCCCTGCCCACTGTACTGTGCCCACCGTACTGCTCCATGGTCTCCCTTATCCAGGGTAAGGGGAAGGGAGCATCTTTGTTAGGCAGCACAAGCACCCTTCCCATCCGTCCTCTCCAGCACCTCCCTTTCCCATGCCCCCTCCCCAGAAAAAGGTTTCTATCAGCTGAAGTTTGAAGGCAAGCATCCCTCTCCTGCCAACCTTTGGGTAGTCGGCAGCCCCCAGCTCAGCCAGGCCGCCCCACACGTCTTCGAGGAGAGGGGGAGACGAGCGATTTCTCCACACATTGCCAGGGAAACAAAAAGTTTACAAACTCTCAGGCTGGGGGAGGTAGTGGAGGAGGGACAGCTAGTTTGTAAGGCTGCCAACCCCCCCCCCCCACGCCCATCCTCAGCAATGGCATCTGAAGGGGCTGGGGGGGGGTGGCAATATGGCCGGAGGGCATATTCCCGGTGGTTATGTACGAAGGCAAAGACAGGAGATGGGGGCGGAGGTGGGGGTGGGGAGAAGATGATGACTTACTGTCCTGAGGTCGGGCGGAGATGCGAGGTAACTTCACAATCACAACCAGGAATCCAGAAGTGGCTTTTCTTTTTTCCTTAACTTATTTGCAATTGTCGTGAACAAAAAAAGCAAACAAAAAAAAAAAGGAGGGGGGCTTAATCTTCAGAGTGTGGGGGCGGGTGGAGGTGAGGAGAGTGCTGAAATCTCCAGTCTTTTCCCCTCACCACCCTGGGAAGCTTCAGGTTCTGGAAAACCGCAGGTCAGAGGCGCTGAGAGCAGACGCCGCTGCCCGTCCCATACTCCGGTGGCCCGACCCCTTCGCGCTCCTCCCGGCCGGGCTCGGCCCGGCCCGGCTCAGCCCAACTCGGTCTGTCCAGCTCCCCAGGCAAAGGACTCGGGTGGGCAGGCCGATTCTTTCTGCAGGATCCCCACCCGCTCCGGCCAGCCCTGTTCTGGGGATTCTCCAACAAATGCGCGCCCTTCCCCTTTCCAAGCGGAGAAAAAAAAAGTGTATACAAAAGATTTTCAAATAAAATCGATCGTTAGACCCTACCCCGTGCTGGGCAGGCAGCGAAGCTGTGGCGGGGAGCGCTTTGCAAAACCAGCCGCTTCGGGCTTCCCGGCTCTTTGGTATCTGGGTGTCTCTCGGTCGGTGTGTGGGTTTGTCTGTCTGTGAATCTGCCTCTCACGGGAACTTGCGGCGCCCGCCCCGCTCTCTCTGCCTCCGCCTTCCCCTCTGCGCCGCGGTTGCTGCTCCACCTGCCTCGCTAGCTTCACCCATCTAGGTCCTTCCTTCTCCTGCCCTCGGGCTCCTCCCCGGGGCGCACCGGCTCTCCCCTAGCTGCGGGCGGGCGGCTGGGCGCCCCGGGTCAAGCTTGGGGGGGCTCCCGAGCCATGGACAGAGGGAACGTCCCCTCCCCGACCCCGCGCCGGCGCCCCCTTCTCAGTCCTCTGGGCAGCAAGCGGGGTGGGGAGGCGGCTGGCCCAGGCAGGCAGCTAAGGGTCGGCTCGGGTCCTGGAGCGAGGAGGCGAGAGGGCCTTCGGCTTCCGTCCCGAGCCGGGGTCGGAGTGCAAGGGGGGGTCCCGAGCGCTCCGAGCGCTCTGCTCAGCTGCCCCGGGAGGTGCGCGCTGCTGGCGCCTGTTCCGCGGTGTCCAGCTCAGCGCATCGGGAGCGGAAGCTTCCTAGGGCTGCTGCTGCCGCCGCCGCCTCTGCCGCTGCTGCTGCTGCCGCTGCTGTCGCCACCACCGCTCCCCTCCGGTTCTTCTTGCCACGGCCATCTGGTGCGTGTCCCTGCAACTTCGGAGCGCCCCGGGCGCTATCGGGCCCCGCGCCCCGCCGCAGGCTCACCCTGCCCCGGGGACTCGGCTGCCCAGACGCCCGGAGCTGCCCCCTTTAGCTCTGGGGTACCTCGAACCTCGGCCGCAGCGCCGGGCGAACGCTAAACTCCCGGGCCGGCCTCGAGGCTCTGCGGCCGGCCTCTCCGCAGGGCTCCCCGGCAGAAGCGTGCGCGCCTGGCCCCAGTCTTCGGAGGGGCTCGGGGAGTCCAGGCGACAGAGAGAGCGGAGGAGATCGCAGCTGGCAATCGGCAGCAGACTGCTGTGAGAGAGTGTGTTTGTGTGTGTGTGTGTGCGTGCGCGCGGGAGCGCGTGTGTGAGTGTGAGTGTGTGTGAGTGCGTGTGCGCGGCGGGGGGAGGGTGCAGGGAGCCTCCCCCACCCGCCTCCTCCTTGGGCTCGCCGGGAGGGGGAGGTTTGGCGGTGGCTCGCTCCCCCTCTCCTTACTGGCCCTAGGGAAGCCTCTCTCCACTCTGTCCTCGCCAGCCCTCCCCACCTTTGCTCTCTTCTGCAGCCCCGGCGGCCTTCTGGCGAGCTGTCTTTGCAACCCTGTCCCCCGACGCGGCTCCCTCAGCTTCTTTCGAAAGGATTGGTAGGAGGAAGAGAGGGAAGGGACGGGTTCTGGCTAGCGGGCGCTCGCCTCGTGGGCTTCTCTTTGCACCTTTCCGGGGTGGATTTGGAGGGGGACTGGCTTGTCAGCTTGGGCAGTAGCAGGGTGGGGGGAGCCCCACTCAGAGGCGCCGTGTAGCTCCGTCTTGCCAATTCACCTCGGAGTTTTGAGGGGCCACTTCCTGGGATTTATTTCTCGGTAATGTTTGAGATCCAGGAGGAGAGAGGAGGGCAGGCGCCCCTCCTCCTCCCCTCCCTCCCTCTTCTTTTTCTTGTTTATTCTCCTCCTTCTCCTCTTCCCCCTCCTCGCTTTCTCCTAGGTGCGGCGGGACCTCCTATTCTGCGCCCCCCCCCCCCCGAGCCTGGCTGGCTCCCCACGCTGTCTGTCTCCCTCTCTCGGCTCCCTCCTCTCCGCTCCCAGGTCCCTGGCAGCCTCCCCGGCCGCCCCCGGCCTCTGCGCAGCGCGGCCTGCAGAGGGCGCTCTCCCACTGCAGCAGTCGGGACTCCGCCGGCTGCTTCCCCCACAACAGATGTCAGACAATATACTCTGTCGCGTCGCAGGTCCAGAGCTTTAATGGTGAAAAAGGAAAAAAAAAAATACAGGATTCCTCTCTTCCCGGCATGGCCCTCCGGCCCTCGCTCATTTGCATATTACTTTGCATATCATTTGCATGTTATTCATTTAATGTTCAGAAATCCCCCAAAGCCACTGGCCCTGTCTCCCAAGTACCCTTACTTCTGCTCTCTCTTTTCCCAATGCCTCCCGCCCTGCCTCCTTTCCTTCTAAAGCCTCCCCTCCCCCCACAGCCTCGGTTCCCTTCCCTGAAGAACTCAAAGCATTTTGTGGGCACCATCTCAGATGCTCAAATGTAGTCTTGTTTCTGCGTTTCTCTGAAGTAGCTCTTCCTTTCCGCCTCCCCGCTTCTTCCAGTTCCCCCCCCCCCCCCCGTCCCCAATCCCCCTCACTTCCTCAGAGAGAGGTTGGGGTTTCAGTGCTACAGTGCAAAAATTAAAATTAAAAATAACCGGTGCTGGAGACGCAGGTCATTCATTTACATATCCTTTGGCATAGAACTGCAGTTGAGGGTCCAAGATCCCCAATTCCCCATGATAGAAAATAAAACAATAGGCCCTCTTCCTTCCTCTCTTCTCAGGGTAGGTCAGAGACTCAGTCCCCTGGCCCTTTGTCCATCCATTAGCTCTGATTCCGGTCCCTGCCACCCTAGGTGAATTATGGTGACCTCCAGGAGCTCTGAGTGAGGTTGTCAACAATCCATGTGGCAAAGTCATTCTAAGGACTGCCACCCATGGGCCCTAAGACGGTTCCGAACTACAGCGATAGTAATGGTAGTAGTGGTAATAATAATAATAATAGTTCTTTACAGTTGTGGAACATTTGCAGTTTTCAAATCACTTTCATATCCATTATTCAATTCAATTTAAACATTTATTAAGCACCTGGTATATGTAAAGATCTGCAGCTTACTTATTTGGTCAATCACAGTAACCTAGGAAGGCAGGCAGACAGTATCTGGTGTCTGGCTAGGACTTTATGCCACACACACCTTCAAATCTTTCCACTTTATTCTCACAACACCCCTACAAAGGCAGAGGGCAGCGGTTATTCCTGGTCCTTTAACAGGTGAAGGCATGCATTCTCACAGACTTTTTTCTCATGCCTGGAAGCCATGTCCTCCTCATCTCAGCCTTTCATATCCTTTTCTTTCCTTCAAGCCTCAACTCATGTACCATTTCCCCTACAAATCCTCCTCTGATCCTCCTCTTTTCCCTCCTGGCAGTCAGTCAACACACATTTAGTAAGTACTTACTATGAGCCAGGCACTGTGCTAGGTGATGGGTATAGATATGCACTGTGGAAACACAAAGAAAAGCAAAGATGCATTCCTTCAAGGAGCTTCCATTCTACCAATGGCCTTGACTATCTCTCTCTACATTTTCCTAGGACACTTTGGAGCTCTCCTTTGCCCCCTCATACGTTATTTTCATGATACTTGTATTAAGTGCCTGGTATATGCCAGGCACTATGCAAAGCTCTGGAGATACAAAAAGAGACAAAAGTCAGTGTCTGCCTTCAAGGAGCTTACAGTCTAATAGGAGTTATGGGAAGTTATGGGAAGCAAGCAAATAAATATGTACAAACAAGTTATTTTCAGTATAGAAGGGAAGAGAATCAACAGATGGAAGGTGCTAGTATTAAGAGGAATGAGGAAAGCCTTCTTACAGAAGATGGGATTTTAGCTGGGACTTGAAAGAAGCCAGGTGATCTAGGAGCCAGAGATGAGGAAGCAGAGCATTCCAGGCTGGGAGGACAGCCAGCAGAAATGCTTGGAGCTGTGTCTCATTCCAGGAGCATCAAGGAGGCGGCTGTTACTGAATCACTGAGTAAATGTGATTAGAACTGAAGACAGAGAGATTTTGAATGCCAAACACAGGATCTTGTATTTGACCCTGGAGATAATAGGGAGCCACTGGACTTATTAGTAAGGTTACAGTTTCACTTGAGGATGATCACTTAGGCAGCTCAGTAAAGGGTGGATTGTAGTGGGGAGAGACGTGTGGTCAGCAGACCCACCAGTAGGCTTTTGCCGTAATCTGAGAGTGAGGTAGGTGAGGGCTAGAACTCGGGCTCGTTGGGGTTACTGCTGGACACTGGGGGAATACAAAGAAAAACAATGTTGAAAAAGGCTCTTCGCTCAAGGAGCTTCCATCCATACAATACACTAAAACAATTAAGTCCAAGACACTTTGAGGAAAATGATAGCATTAACTTCCCATAAATAAAGGCTTCCCATAAGACAGAACATCTGAGTTGAGCTTTGAAGGATTCAAGGAGATCAAAGTCAGGAGGAATTGTGCTCTAGGCATGAAATGACATTGTAATCTGGTCAGGCTGTGCTCCAGAGTTGTGCCGGGGAATTTGACACCTTTGTTAGGACTAAGAGGTTAAGTGACCTGCCCAGGATCACACAGCCAGCATATGACAGAAATGGGGCTTGAAATCAGACTTTCCTGAGTTCAAGGAGGGCTCTCTTATTAACTACTCCATGCTCACTCTTATCTCATTTAATACAATTTTTAAAATTCCCTGCCAGTATTAGCCATAATTTTGACATAAATTTGATCAGTAAAGCTTTGTACCTTGAAAAGAGTTAAATTTTCTGGATTTTTCTGTTTGCAACTTAACTCATTAAAGCACGTAGTAAAAACACTGACTTGACAACTGAGAAATTAAAAAGAAAAAAACCCGCTGTGAAATCATCGCACATCCCATTCCAAAAATGCATAAAAATTAGACAGCTCTCTAGCCCCAGGGCCTGAAGCAATTTAACTATGCCCAAAAGAAAGTGGAAAGTGGGCAAACAGGAGTTTGAACCCTGACTCTTGGTGAGTAATTCTCAAATATTCTCTCCTAATCACTGCATTGAGTGTTTCAATTAAAAAGTAGAAATAGAGACAATGGAAATGTATGCTAGATTTCATGCCAGAGGATCTGGATTCAAAGAACACTTTCACTATTTACTATCTGTGTGATCTTTAGGTAAGTCATGTAAATCTCTAGCCTCAGTTTGCTTATCTGCAAAAGGGGGCAAGGTAGAGTAGCTGACTTCCAAGATTCCTTTTGGCCCTAAATCTATGAGTCTATAACTATGCTATAGTGGAGTATAGGGCAAAGAGCACAGG